GTGTGTGTGTGTGTGTGTGTGCGTGTGTGTGTGTGTGTGTGTGTGTGTGTGTGTGAGAGAGAGAGAGAGATCTTCTTCTTCTTCTTCTTCTTCTCGGTGCGCAGTTGGCAGCGGCGCGCGCCGCGCGGCCAGGCGGTACAGCGCCCCGACATCGGCCAGTGGTCGCCCGACGGCCGTCGCCATCGAGGCGTGCGGCCTTTTTCAGTGCGCGGCCATTTTAGTGCCCGTCCGCTGCCGAAGTCGGCCGAACTCGGCATAATGCGGCCGAATGCGGCCGATCGAGGCCGAACGAGGCCAAACGCGGCCGAGCACAGCCGTTTCGTCTAGCGGAAGTGCGTGAGGCCGACTGGCCGGGGTCCGCGGGGAGCACGGGTGTGGGCGACAACAGCGGGACATGGCAGTGGCGGCAGCGGGGATGTCAGGGACTGCATCGACGGTGCGGCACAGTCCGACGACATCGACGATCATCGCGACGACTTGTTGGATTGGGGTGTGGGGACGATGACGGGGGGTGCAGGGAGCAGTGGTGCGGGGGGGTCTGGGGGTGCCCAGTTCAACCCGCTTTCAGAGAAGGAGATGGCGAAGTTGAGGCGGGGCAACTTGGTTTGGAACTTCGTCACCACGGGGCAGTACGTCGGGGACCAGTCCAAGATGCATGGGGACCGAAAGTTGCGTTGCAACTTATAGGGCCACTTGTTTCAGGGGGGGTCGTCGAAGGCCGCGCGCCATTTCACGCAGTCGAAGTATTGCAAGGCTGGGGGGATTAGAGTTATCGCGGAACTCTGGAATGACACGGACTACACATTCGTGCCTTCCACTGCTCAGCGGGTGCAGAGGTGGATGGCAGACGAGGGGATACGGGACACGAGAGCGCCTGCGAGTGGCCAGCGACAGCGGATGGACGACGGAAAGAGGGACGACATTTAGGACGCCCTCGATGAGGAGGACGGCCACAAGGGTGGGGCCAGGGAGTGGGGGTGGCAGACGAGGCAGACGAGGCAGTCAGAGAGCCTGACCTGCCAGGGGAGGAGGTGGTGATGACGTCGAGAGGCGTCGGTCGAGCGGGTCCCACTCCCAGGGCGCCGCGACCTGAGTTGGATCGCGCTAGGAGGGAGAAGAGGGGAGTGGGGGAGGCTGACGTCGAGGTGCGAGACACGGGCAGGGAGAAGTGGGCTCGGCAGACGACGATTGACGAGATGTACGCCAAGGAGAAGTTGGCCGAGTTCACAAACGCGTGGCTGCAGTGGATCTACGCGAATGGGTTGCCATTCAACGCCTTCCGTGGTCCGGAATTCCAGAGGGTGCCGCAGGCGGCAGAGAGAGTGCCTCGCACTGTCCAGTTCCGGTTTCCCTCCTTTAGGGTTACAGCGGGCGCCGGTATCCCTTCGCAGAGGGCGAAGGTGGCGACGACGGTGAGCGTGGTGTGCGTCGCTTTCCGGCACAGCGGTGCCACCATCCTCTCCGACGGGAGGAAGTCACGCAGCGGCAAGCCGCTCGTGAACTTCCTCGTCGGAGGCGCCAGTGGCGCCCTGCTATACGCCACCATCGGACGTGACGGGTCGGTCCGAGACACAATGGACATCGTGTACCGTAGGTGGCGGGCCATCATCTTGTCCTTTCCTCCAAAGGACGTGATCGGCTTCTGCACAGACTCCGCCAGTAACTATACGGCGGCAGCGCGCAGATTCTCCACTGACCCCGAGCCCAACATTAGGAGGATCACTTGGCTCCCCTGCTCCACCCATGTCTGCAACTTGATGTTGTCAGATATCGGAACGCGAGTGGGGTGGGTCAAGGACACCATCATCCGCGCTCGAGCGCTTGTGCGACTTATTAAATTGCACGGCGCTGGTCACACCCTGTTTAGGAAGGTGAACCCTCGCGTTCAGCTCGTCGAGCCCGTTGAGACACGGTTTGCATCGGTTTTCCTGATGCTGTCGTGTCTCAAAGGCCGACGAGACGCGTTGGAGAGCATGCTGCACGGGGATGCTTGGGCACGCATCCCGTGGGAGCGCAGGCATGTATCGTAGGCGCAGTGGGTGCAGCAGCAGATCCTGGACGCGGAGTTTTGGCGTTGTGTCCAGTACACCATCCTTGTCATGGCGCCCGTTCACCAGCTGTTGCGCAGGATGGATAGGGGGGGATGATGATGTCCGTCGTTTACGAGTGGAGGCAGCATGTGCAAGAGTTGATGAGGAGGGTCGACGTGCCGGAGGACATGATCGAGCCGTGCGTGCGTGAGGTTGCCATCCACAACCTCCACATGCTAGAGCCCGCACATGCCGCGGCCCACCTCCTCAACCCTCGTCAACGGTCCCTCACGTATTACCATTCGTTAGAAACGACCGCGGACGACGCCCGTGTGGTCGAGGAGTGCGACAGATTTCTGCTGGYKCAGACCGGCSGTGATTTGGTCGGCAGACTGTACAGGACCATGAGGGACCAGATGAGGGACTTCCACTCGATGCGAGGGGATTGGGGAGATCGGTCCCTCTCCGATGCCGAGGCGGACGATTGCAAGGGGGACCGCGAGACCGAGCGATGTACAGCGTGGTGGCTTGACCATGGACGGGCCCACCCGGAGTTGCGCACCATCTTCATCCGTGTCATGCACTTGTGGATGTCTGCCTCTCCAATGGAGAGGAACTGGGCGCAGCACGAGCGCATCAACACGGCGAGGCGCTGCAAGCTTGGGTTTGCCAAGCTTGCACAGCTGGTTGAGATTGCCACCAACCTCAAACTGGCCTCGTGCGCATGGCAGGGTGGTGGCTACGTATTGCCATGGGTTATGGGGACCGGTCGAGAGGGGACGGCGGTAGAGGACGAGGATGAGGAGGGAGACGTGAAGCCCGAGGTGTGGGGAGCGCGACCTGCAGGCAGTGTTCCTGAGCAGAAGATCCAGCGGCAGATTGTCGCTTTCCATGACAGCCGACCGTCCAGAGCCCATTCGGTTCGGGACGTGTTCGGCAAGAGGGCGACGGAGCTGCGACCGTGGGGAGAGGGCGGGGATGATGCGGACGCTGCTGCGGCTGACAACGACATCGACGACGAGTGGGCAAACGATGATGACACGCCGCTGAGTGGCCACCCGACGGCTGAGCGGGTGTACTTCACCTACGGTGGGGGACGTGACGGCATGGATTCATTGACATCAGTTATCATTGGTGGTGTGCCGTCGACCGCACAGGCGAGTTGCAGCAGCAGGGCCGGTGGTGGTCGTGGAGGACGTTCGCATGCGGAGGTCGGCGTCGACGACTTGGGGGAGCAGCAGCCACTGGGACGTCTTCGGCAGACAGGCAGGTGTTGGGAGGTTAGGAGCGACAGCGAGGCCGAGGAGGAGGCCGAGGATGAGCGGGTGCCCTTTCACGATCGTCGCTTCTCTCCCTCCCATCATCGGAGCAGTGCACAACCCGAGGCACTTAGGCGTTCGGAGGGGTTGGCGTCGGCAGCAGGCAGAGAGCGGACACATGACGGCGAGGATCGTGGGGGGGAGAGGACTCCTTCCGACGCCGGTATCCGGCCCCGCTCGCCGTCGGAGCTCCGCACACACGACTTTGACGTCGGAGGGCTTGGTGGGGGCTTGGGAGATTTCGATGTCGAGGGACGTCGACGTGCCTCACCGTCGGAGGTGCGCACCGACGCGGACGATGTGCGGGGCCCTGTTGAGACAGAGGAGGAGAGGGATGCCCGTTTGGGCCGAGAGGAGGAGGAGCGGCTGGGGAGTTTGCCACGATGGGAGGGTCGGTTCGCGTATCTTGACGAGCAGCGTCGGCAGAGGGGTTTGGAGACAGGAGGGGGGGGAGGCCGTGACGACGACGACTCGAGTGTCCTTGAGGAGGCAGTTCAGGGGGAGTTCGATGATGAGGGACAGGATGCCGCCGCGGGTAGTGGGTCAGGTGGTGGACGCTGCGGCGACGGGGAGACCGCGGGTGATGAGGGGCAGGATGTTGTCGTGGGCGGTGGGTCCCGTCGTGGGGGGCGTGCCGTGTGTGGCAGGGGAGAGGGTGGACCCGGTGGAGATGGGGACACCGCGGGTGTCGGAGGAGACGATGGACCGGACGGAGATAATGACGATGACCACGGTCCCGAGGACGATGCATATAGGCTCGCCTTGGTGTTGAGGGACCCCACAATACCTCCCTTGCGCCCTGACGACTCAGCGCACACTTTCTTCGACGTCGATGCTTTGGCGCAAGCGTTGACGGATGACCCTTTCACACACATGGGTCGCGTGAGCGGCAAGAGGCGGGCCCCTGGGAGGGTGTATTCACCGCCGCCGTTCGTGGTGCAAAGCCCTCGATGGTCGGGTTCGTTGCTCAGCGGCGTGAGAGGGAGGGAGTCCGGAGCGGGTGAGGTGGGGTCCGGCAGACGCAGCGACGGCGGCAGAGACAGTGCAGGATCGATGCCTCCACCGCCTGCACGGACTCCGGAGGCTGTGGTCGACGCCGGGGACCAGACGGCGGCACCCGGAGTTGCGCACAGTGGCAGTTCCCCGTCGACAGTCCAAGGTGGTGTGGGTGAAGGATGGTCAGCTGTTTGTCGGGTCGAGGACCGGTTGCGGGTGGATTACGACGTCGGGAGGGGCGTCTTCTCAGGACGTACGCCAGTTTAGACGCAGGCTGCGGAGGGTGGGTCAAGACGTCTGAGCCTGCAGATGGCAGGCCGCATGCTCGGTTTGTCACGAGCGGAGACGAGGAGATCATTGGTCCTCGAGGCCGCAGGGACATCCACGGACATGCTGCGGGGACAGCAATACACATCGGACGAGGAGGGGTTGTTGATGCGTCCCGGGACGAGACGACATTGAGGCCTCTCGGAGGTTGAGGCACCACTCGCGGCAGGGGTCGCCGCTGGCCAGGCAGCATTGGACGCGATTCAGAGGGAGAGAGAGATGGGGATTGTTGCACGGGCGGCGGAGGACGAGGACGTAGACACAGAGTACGAGCCGATCGAAACAGCGGCCCGCAGACACAGAGCACAGGTGGCCGCGGCAGCCGCTGCAGCAAAGGCGGCATACCTCAGCGGGGCACGGAGCACAACCTCACAGGTGCCGGAGGGAGAGGAGGGCGCCAGGGAGGACCGCATGGCCGCCCGTCCTCCGGGCGAGGCCGCGCGCTCTGGAGGGAGATGACGACGTCCGTGGTATTTTTTTTTTTTTCTTTAGTTTTTTTTTTTTTTTTT